GTGTGTGTGTGTGTTTTGGTTTGTGTCTCTGTGTGTGTGTGGGGCTGTTGTGCGGTTTAACTTCGGGGTACCCCGTAACCGCGGGCCCTGAAGCATTTCCCTTAAACTAGTCAGATAGCAGCCCTAAACCCTGTCCCGAAACTCTAAACCTTAATTAGCAACCCCAAAACCCTACTAAACTCGACACCCTCACAGCTTCGAGCACATCCAAGGCCCAATCCCTGCCAAGAAGTCGACGCCTTCGTGGAGTTCATCACGCAGTTTGAGGCGACACGTCCAGGGGTGGTGAGATCGATCCCCGTCTTCGTCATCCTGCAACACTCTCTGGTCTACGCCTGTAAAGGACGCCTGCAGGAGCTTTGGTATAGTTCAAGCCAGGAGGCCCAGGTGATCGATGAGTTCTGGTCTCATAGCTGGCAGGCGCCATCGTGGCAGAAGTATGTCAACCTCCTCTTTTTGAACAACACCTGGCCTGCAAGCGTGGTAGGCACCTTCACCGCAGTTGCTGCGTTGGTCCTCTTCTTGACGGACGTTTTGCCTGAGTGGGCGGAGACAGGTCGGACTTGCAGATGGTGTATCCTCCTGGGCACGGTGGCCTACTACCCGACCTTCTTGCTTCTTTACTGCAAGCAGCTTCCAACAAAGCCTTCATTCGGAGCGCTACATGAAACCCCGAAGAACTCAACGGTTCCTAGCTCCTCAGCATCATAGTCATCAATAACAGTAATTAATAGCAACAGTAATATTAACTAACAGCAACAATATCAACAGTATGTAGTATTATGCCTATGCAAACGACTAACAGTAATAGAAATTATCGTAGTGCAGTCATGATGAGAACAATAGCAACAGCTGCCGGGACTCCAAAACCTGGCACTCTCAGTAGGAGAGTAGGTGACCTCTTAACCCCCTTTGGCGGGGTTTAGGGTTTAGGGGGGTTCTATACGACTAGCTACCTTTTGGCGGTATTATGGGGTTTCGGATTTAGTGTTTCCTGGTAGAGTAGGCAACCTTGGAACTATTTTGGGGGTAGTATCACTCTAATATATAGCTCCAAAGGTTAACGTGCAGATTTAGGTCCCCTACGATACTGGACAAGTATTCCCTACTATAGAAGCTTGAATAAGTATTGTGGTACCGGAACCCCTTATGACTCTGAGAGTATAGTAATAATAGTACAATATTCTCCGACACACAATGCTAGTTATTAAGGGTCCTAGAGCACATAATCAGGGAAGTAAAGCCTTTTAAAGGGCAAGGCCTCGGTTCGAACCCCAGAATTGCCTAGCCCATTGTTGATAACCTAGTTGTTAGGGTTTAGGGTTTTTTCTGGTCACGGGTTTCATAAGAGGATTTGGGAACCAAGCTGTCTTGAGAATCCCCGCAACCCCGCAAAAAGAACCGAAAAGCGATAACACTGCAAGCCCCAAAACCCCCAAATAGCCCCAAATATCCCACAATCATCCAAAGCCCTAAGCTCTAAACCCGTTTCCCTTAACCCTGAATGCTCATTGAACTTAGGCGGGTTAGATACCCCTTGGACCCCGTCCCCCAAGGAACCCTCAAAGGAACCTCTGCAGACCCCTGAAGCGGGCCCTTAAAGGAACCCCTTAAAGGAACCCTCAAAGGAACCCGTCGGGATCTCGAGGTTTTTTAGGCCGAGCGCACGGGTTTTCTTCGATGCCGCGTGCATCAACCAGAGAGACATGGATCTGAAGTTCGAAGGCGGGGACCCTAAACCCCTGCACCCCTAAACCCCGAAACC